TGATTCCTGCTCTTGGCTATTGTGAAGAGTGCTGCAATGAACATTGGGAAACAGGTATACCTTCGACTTGATGTTTTCCATTCCTTTGGGTATATTCCCAGTAGTGGGATAGCTGGATCGTATGGTAGCTCTATCTTCAGCTGTTTGAGGAACCTCCAAACCATTTTCCATAGGGGTTGCACCATTTTGCATTCCCACCAAAAATGTATGAGGGTTCCCCTCTCTCCGCAACCCCACCAGCATTTATTTTTCAGCGTCTTTTGGATTTTTGCCATCCTAACTGGGGTGCGATGGTATCTCAGTGTGGTTTTGATTTGCATTTCCCGGATGCTGAGTGATGTTGAGCATTTTTTCATATGACTGTTGGCCATTTGCATATCTTCTTTAGAGAAATGCTTACTTAGCTCTTTTGCATTCTAACTAGCATCCTTTTCTGAAGACACAGCACTTACCTGCCAGAGTTATCCAATGGTTACAATGCCAATTTGCAACAATACAATAGGCTCAGGATAAAATCACCAAGACAAGGAAAACCATCTCTATCAGGCCTCTAGCTGTCAAAGCTGTCACCTTTATCAGGTAGATCTAGCAGGCTGGTATTGTGAAGAAGAATGGGTTTTAGAGTTAGAAAGACTCCTAGATCAAAAATGTATTAGTTGGGGCTGGCCAGTTAGCTCACTTGGGAGAGCCTAGTGCTGGTAACACCAAGGTCAGGGGTTTGGATCCTCATATGGGCCAACTGCCAAAATAAATAAATAAATGAAAGCTACCAATCTCTGAAAATGCAAAAAACAAAAAAAAAACCCCAAAGATATTAGTTGTATTATCTTAGGCAAATTGTTTCACCTCTCTAAGTCACAGCTTACTCACCTGTACAATAAAAATAATATGACCGAATTAATTGATTCAACAAATATTTAGGGGCTGGCTGGTTAGCTCAACTGGTTAGAGCATGGTGTTATGACACCAAGGTCAAGAACTTGGATCCCTGTACTAGCCAGCTGCCAAAAAAAAAAAAAAAAAAAAAAAAATTACTGAGCACTTACTATATATTAAAAGCTGGGAATAAAGTAGTGATCAAGATATTGTTCCTGTCCTTTAAAAGCTTACAATCAGGTAGGAAATAAGAACAAACAGTGTTCTTAGAGCACCTAACCCACTTCTGGTATGTGGGATGGTTGTGAGAATGAAATAAGTGAATTATATATATGAAAACACCTATGACAGCATCAGGCCATACTGTGTGTCCAGAGTCACACACTTAATAAGTGGCAGCACCAGAACTTAAATCCAAGTTCAGTATTCCCTCCATAATACCACTTTGTCAAGACTCTTTATTGAGAGCTTTGTTAAAATGCAGATTCCAGGCCTGACCAAGATCACATTTTGAGAATAACATAACTGCCTGCTACTAATTCAAAATCTTCAAGTATTACTATAATATGAGATAAAAGAATGTCAAGCCAAACTGTAATAATAAGACTTCTGCTTCCATCCATGAAAGATTAACTGTTATGAGAATTTGTCCTCCTGCCATTAACAACTAGAAAACAGGACAAAATATATGAAACGATGGTTTTAAATTATTGCACAAGAAGTGGTACAAGACTATTAAACCAGAGAGGAGAGAATCAAATGAGGTAATTGCTACAATTGTTCGAGCTTATTGCCCAAAGCAGTTTCCAGCCTGCAGGAAACTAACTAACCCAAACAAAGCCAAGTGGTCTCACTAAATTGAAAGAAAAAAGGCTGGAATTTGGGGAGACTGAGGCAGCTAGAACTTGTGATATAGAATACCTGCATGTAGGACCTATGAAAGGAGAGAGCTCTAGAGATCTGCAAGGGAGTCTTCTCCAGTGTCTGTCTGAACAATGACGTGTGCAAGTATAAGAAGAAACTCCTCAAGGTTGGGGAAAGAATCATTGAAAAGTAGTAGGCCAAATAATTACTGAAGATTACAAGTTGGGAATGGTTTGTAGAGGTACTTCATAATACATGGAGCGTTGGAGTGTCCGCATAGGGGTCACACCTCAGTAGTGGGGCTCAATTACTCTTAAATAAAGGCTGCCATTTGATCTCAAATGAATCAAACTGATCTAAAACTTACTCAACTGCAAGAAAGAACAAAGTCCATAATCTTTAAAATACATTAAAATCCAGCTGAATAATGTAAAATTCACAATGTCTGGCATCCAATTAAAAATAACAAGGCATAATAAAAATGAGAAAGTAAGGAGAAAAATAAATCCATATAAACAGATCCAGAAATGACATTAGTAGACAAGGATCTTAAAATAGCTGTTATAAATCTTACACATATGATCAAGGTTAAAGGAAAACATGAACTTGATGAGTAGAAAATGGAATGCATTAAAAAAGTCCAAAATGGAACTTATAGAGAATAAAAATACAATGTCTGAAATGAAAAGAAAAAAAAATACAGGATTAATAGCAGACTAGATACTGCAAAACAACAACAACAAAAATTCAGTGAACTTGAAGATAAAGCTATAGAAACTAATCAAAATAAAGCACGGGGGAAAAAAAAATAGCATCAGTGAACTGCAGGACAATAGCAAGAGGTATATAACACATGCGGAATTGGAGTTCCAGAAGAAGTGGAAATGGAGGGAGAGAGATAGATTGTGATTATTTGAAAGTAAACTGTGGTAATGTTATTTGAAAATGTAGATTGTAAACTCCTAGATAACTACTAAAAAATAAAGAGGAATGGCTAATAAACCAACAGGAGATATAAAATGGATTCTTAAAAAATACTCAATTAATCCAAATCAAAAGAAGGCAGGAAAAAAGCAAAAAGAACAAAGATAAGGCAGAATAAAGAGAAAACAAATAGCAATATTGTAGATTTAAACCCACACATACTGGTAATTATATTAAATGATTGAAATACTCATTAAAAGGCACAGATAGTCAGATCTAATATAAAAGTATGATCCAACTATATGCTGTGTGTTCAGAAAAATGTCCCTATCCTAATCCCCAGAACCTGTGACCATTAGGTTACACGGCAAAGGGAATTAAGGTTGCAGATAAAACATGTATTAATATGTAGATTATCTCCAAATTGATCTTTTTTTTTTAAACCAGAGAAACTGACAAGTTGATTCTAAAATTTATATAAAAATGCAAAGGATCCAGAATAGTCAAGACAATTTTAAGAGGGAAAAACAAGATTGGAGGGCTGTACTACTTGATTTTAAGACTTACTATAAAATTAGGACAGTGTAGTATTGGCACAAAGTAACCAATAGGTAAAGAATATTCTTCAAAAAAAGGTGCTGGAAAAATTGAATATCCATATGTTAAAAAAACAACAACTCAGCTTTTACCTCATATCATATATAAAAATTAAAGTGAAATGCATCATAGATCTAAACATTAAGAGCTAAAACTATAAAACTTCTAGAAGAAAATATGGGAGAAATCTTTATGGCCTTGGCAAAGATTTCTTAGAATTGGCTGCAAAAAACATAAGTCATAAAAAAAATAAATTGAACTTTTTCAAACTTAAACTTTTGCTCTTCAGAAGACAATGTTAGGGTAATACAAAGACAAATCACAGGCTGAAAAAATATTTGCAAAACATATATCTGATAAAGGATTTGTATCCAGAATATATAACTCTTACAACTCAGTAACAAAATAACTCAATTAAAAAACATGGGTAAAAGATTTGAACAAATACCTCAGCCAGAAGAAACAATAATGGCAAATAAGCATAAAAAGATGCTCAAATCATTATTCATTAGTGAAATGCAAATTAAAACCACAATAAGATCCCACTAGGATGGTTAAGATTAAAAATACTGACAATACCCTTGCAGATTGGGGAGATGAAAAAAAATACCAATCATAGCAAATGTTAGGACATGGAGCAACTGGAACCCTCATACATTTCTGGTGGGAACAAAACGGTACAGTCACTTTGGGAAATAGTGTCAGTTTCTTATAATGTTAAAAATACATTTAGCATATAATCCAGAAATCCCACTCCTAGGTATTTACCCAAGAGAAATAAAAAAATATGTCCACATAAAGACCTGTACATGTATTTTCATAGTGGCTATATTCAAAACATCCATTAGCCGGTCAATGGGTAAACAAATTGTGGTAATTCATACAATGCAATACTTAGCAAAAGAAAGGAATAAACTGATTCGCAAAATAAAATGGATGAATCTCAAAGGCACTATGTTAAATGAAAGAAGCCAGATACAAATAACTTCATATAATATGATTCCACTTGTGTAAAATTCTGGAAAAGGTAAACTATAGTGAGAGAAAGCAGATAGTGGTTCTCTGGGGCTGGGGGTAGGATGAAAGGACTGATTAGAAGAGGGCATAAGGGAGCTTTTTGCAGTAACGAAAATGTTCTAAATATTGGTTGTGGTGGTTCAAGATTATTTATAAATTTGTCAAGTCTCACTGAACTTAAATTCACTTAAAATTAGTGAATTGTATTGTATGTAAATTATGGTACAATAAAGCTGATTAGAAAATAACAAACTGTAATCAAAATATGAAAAAATGCATTTGCCCACTTGCAAGTAATAGTTATATTCAGTTTAGGTTCATAATATCTTTTTTCCATTTGCAGGATGATAGTCTCAATAAGCACATACATTAAGAGACCACAGTCAAGTTTTTCCTCTGGAAATCATGTTCTCCACGATCCTTACCAAGAGTAGTGAGTCCCTCTGAGATAGATGTGAGAACATACAGGAGTACAGGAGGCTCTAAGTTGGTAATGAAGCTCATGTGGTCTTGGGTAAGACATTCCAGGAGTGGATAATAAGACTGGCTCAGTTTCCGATATTGCTACAACACAGAGATATACTAAATGTCAAGTCACAGGAAGGAAAAAGACATGTTACAGTCTAGTGAAAATTGCTATTTATAAGATTGGAAAACAGTAAACTTACTTAAACAAAAGGTCAATAAATATACAGAAAAAAATGACAATGGTTCCCAATTCAACATTTAAAGGGGTTCTAATAGGAATCTCTTGATCTCTAGAAATCCTAATTTGAAGCTATAGCATAGTATGTTATTTCAATTTTACCTAACACTTAAACACAAGTAAAATCCCTGCAGTGTGACATAAATTCACATTTATGCAGCGTGTTATTTTTCTGGATTAGAATATCATAACACTGAACAGTGCTTAACAGTGGCTAGGCAACCTTTTTGTTTGTTTTCTAAATATACAAAAAATTTGTGTTATAGTAAGATTTGGCACTATAGTGTGCTGTATTTACATAATGCCAACCTATCTAACTAAATCAGAATTTGGTCAGTGGCTTAATATTTACCATACACTATAGGCAAAAGATAAATGCATGAGAAAGATACCCTAGAAAATCTCAAATGCAACCCAAACCAATGTCAAAGTACAACACTCATAAGACAGATACATCAGAGCAGCATTTCTTAAAGTGAGATTAATCCCATGAGAATTACTTGTGGTGCTTATTAAAAATTCTGTTTTCTGTTCCCCACTCCACAAGTCTTATGCACCCTTCAAGTTTGAGAATTACTCAAATGGAGAACTGCTTGACTATTAGAAAAAAAGTGAGAGAAAAATTCCTGGAACCACACCAGTTTTCTTGGTAGCCTTCAATTGCAGTGAAGAGTCCCCTCAATGAGGTGACTATAACATATGGCTGATTTGACTAAAGTTTCTACTTTGTAATTTCTGTCATACAGGCATAGCCTTTAACGAGCATTCCATTCTACTACAAGGAGGCTTAACAACTTTCACTTGAGATGTGGCCCTATTAGGATTAGTTTAGAAAGGTGGAAGAGGGTGCACTAGTCCATTAGAAGGTCAAGGAGCATTTCTTACACAGGCTGACTAACAAATGCCCTCAGATCTTACTTGTAACCTTGGGGTGGGAGCAGATGGGGAAACCATGAATTAAGCCTGAGCATGAAATCTGCTGTAATTATTGCAACCACGTTGGCCACATATTGGTTTCTGTGTAATCAGACAGAGATGTTAAAAAAAGAAGTCTGAGGGCCGGCCCGGTGGCGCACTGCTACAGTGTGCCGCTGGGGAGCGCGGTGGCGCTCCCGCCGAGGGTTCGGATCCCACATACAGACCGGTTCCCGCTCACTGGCTGAGCGAGGTGCGGGCGCGACACCGAGGGTTGCGATCCCATTGCCAGTCCCGGTCCGGTACGGGCGCGACACTGAGGGTTGCAATCCGTTGCCGGACACGAAAAAAGACAAAAAGGGAAAAAAAAAAAAAAAAAAAAAAAAGAAGTCTGATAATGACACAGGTCAGTGCAAGGACCTGGAAATTTGAATTTCTAACAAGCACTCCAGGTGTTTCTGATGGGCCTCAAAGTTTGAAGACCAATGACATAAATCACAGAAACTAGACAATAGAGCAGAAGAGGCATCTAGTAACCACTTAGTTTAATCCACTTATTTTAAATGGAGGAGGAAATTGAAAGCTGGAGAAATATAGAACGTAATTAATTCAAGGTAAATGACTAGTAAGTGGCAGAGCTGAAACTATATGCTAGGTTGCTCAACTTTTAGTTCAGCACTCTGTCCACCACACCAGAATTTTAATGGAAAAAAAATGCCAAACAGCAGTTGTACAATTTAAGATTAGTTCACTTTACGTACAGCAGGAAGATCCTGTAGACAATTCTGTATTGTCTACTTAAGGAAATACAGACCTTTTTTGAATTACAAGTACAGTTATAAGCAAATTGTTGTAACTGCTAACTGTATTTTCTCTATAGGTAAGACCTGGAGTACTCTGGATGACCAATTTGTCAGAAGGTAGTAGCTGCAGCTTTCTAAACTGCACACTTAATTATATAAACACAGTCACTATAGTTGTCCAAATTCTGTATGTCAGATCAAGTATGCTGTCTTAAAATATACAATGTTCTGGTGCTATTCTAACTTGCCAGCCTTCATTATAATAATTCCAGGCCTGTGGTGGTGTTACTTCACATTTCACATGAAGACTCCCATGATGCATGATTACTTACTAGCAAGTCACTGTGGGACACTGACAGTAACATTTTGACAAAGGCCTGCAGTACATTGTCAAAATGGTTGTCTCCATACAACTTGAAGACGCCAAAGCTGACATAATTCCCACACAAGGCAGATTTCAGAGCTGAATAGCAGATGGAGATGCCCTTGAGTTTCATTGGATAAATCTGATCTTTTGAGAGGCTCCCAAGGGACAGGATCTGATTACCTATTTTAGGGTGAAAGCAGAAAGAGAAAGTGAAATAAGTAGACGTAATTCAAAGCAGTTATAAGGCACACTATTTAACATTTTCATTTTACTGCTAATGTTCACCTCCCCCCAGCACTGTTCCAAGAATTGCACCATCCATTTTAATGAAAAATATAAGTATATAAGGCAACTTACCTGAAAAGTACAAAGTGGCCAAGGAAAATCAATCAAGGTATTGGAAAAGGTCTATATTTTTATCTGCATGGTGATTAAACAGATGTATACATAGATATGCAAAAATTCATTGAGTTGTACTATTTAAGATTAGTTCACTTTACGTACTTGAATGCTTGTGTTACCCTTCAACAAAAAGTTTAAAAAACATAAGACAGAATAACCAACCAAGACAAGAGAGAAAGATAACCTAACTGAGATGTAAATTACTCTAAATTCTGGCTGAATTTTTATATGAACTTGATCTTAAGTTACTTCACTTTCAGGAGCCTCATAGCTTTGGTATATGAATTAAATAAGACATATAGAAGTTCTTGACACAAGCTACAATAAATATTACTTCCTTTATCTCCTTCTTTAGAAGGTCTCAAGAAATGATTGTTTTAAAAAGTATCTTAGGGCCGGCCCGGTGGCGCACTGCTACAGT